ATAAACTTGAATCTGAGTATATGTTAAATGAAATGTAAGATCCATGATCAGAATAAATATAGGTTAGATAGTTTTCAGTCTTCAGTAATAAGGATAGGAGGTCTATTGACCTATATTAATCCTTGCAGTTTGTAATACTGTGGAGGTTCAATCTCGTTTTGAATATATCAACAGAAGGTGGTGATATTACGTGTTCTGGTAGAGAATTCCAGTAATTCTCTATTCGGTGCAAGAAACGAAACTCCAGACGTAAACGATTTGATCTCGGTTTTTGAACTTTCATCGAATGTCCTCTCAAATGATAGGTCCTAGATGAAAGTAAAAGATAAAACATGTTAATACCTAGGTCATCGTTCAGTATATGGTAAGCCAATATTAGATCACCTCGTATTTTATGGTAAGATAACGGAAATAAGTCAAGGTATCTCAGTCTGTCTTCACAAGATAGTCCAGATAGACTTTGTACCATCTTAGTACCTCGTCGTTGAACTCTTTTCAGCATATCTGATTCATAGGGTGAGAGAAATAATACTGCAATTACAATTCCGTCGAATGTTTAGTGTAAGGCTATATTGTGTGAAAAATTATTAAGGCGTAATAAGGAGGGATGAATGCGAAGTGAATGAGTCATGTATAGGGAAGACTAATAATAATGTTTAATTAATAGTAATAATAATAATAACACTACAAAGATTTGTGAATAAGGATGACAGAGACAATTACCTTTGACTACGAAAGGTCATAAGTACAACAGTCAAATTAGGTCATTCAATAGCTAAGATTACTGTTGATTGATCGGCCTTGATGTTAGCTAGGTGAGGCGGAGTGATTGAAGATATTTCTTCTGTACGCATAGCTCCGGTTTCTTTATCCGGATTGCTACTACTTTAGCCGTTTGATGGACTTTAAGTCTGACAAGCATTGGCAAATAGTTACTAACCTTATAAACAATTGAAAAAGACTGGTTTAAACTGGCACTATGACCAGTTTGTACTAAATGGGCCAATATTGAGCTGTTGACTTTCTTCATCAAACCTTTGTTAAGCCACGCTGAAAGGTGTTCACAAGCACAAAAATGTAAATTCCTAGAACTTCGACCAATATAACTTGCTCCACAGAAGCAATCGGACTGACAAATACAAAATGAGGTGGTCATTTTAAGTAATTCATCTTTTAGCCTCGATGTCACATCGAAAACATGAATCACAGTTCACCGGCGTTAAAAGATACTACTAATTACTATTAATAATAAAGTAATCATTAAAATTTAGTTACTTACTCTTTTCTATTTCTTCTTCTTCTTCTTCTTCTTCTTCTTAAAATTACCTCATAAACATTTAATTCTAATATCTATTTCATAAATAAAACAAAATTTTATTTATATTAATTGTTAATTATATGGACTATAATAAAGTGTTAAGGGTAAAGTATAATGAAAAATAGAAAGGAAATAACTTAAGACTAAATACTAAATTATTATTTCTATTCTATAGAAAGGACACTATGACTCAGTATAACAACAGGAGAAAAAATTAAGAGAGATAAAATTAAATTATTTCTATTTCTTCTCATTTTAATTTCTAGTTAATTTTGCTTAAATTTTTCTTTGATTGACAGTTATTATATGTATGTATGTGTGTATGTATGTGTGTTTGTTTGTATGTGTGTATGTATGTATCTATGTGTGTGTGTGTGTGTGTATAGGTTCAGGTGATTGTCCCTGAAGTGATTTATACTGAAATGACAAAAAGTAAGATGGTTTTTTTTCAAAGAAAAGTTCAAATAATTATGTAATACAAATAGAAATACATATACATACAACACACCTCTAAAATGTAATCAAGATTTACGCATAAGCACACATTCATACATGTTCATCTATCTATGTTTTGTTTGTAAATCAATGTACTTAAGCTATTCACAGAGTTAAAGTATACATTTATTGAAAATTACCAGAGAATATGAATAGTAATAATAATAATGTATGAATGTCTAAAATGAGAGAGATAAAGAATACAAATTTTCGCCACTTGTTAGTTCTTATGTATATATTTTTTGGTCATCCAATTTCTTGCTTTAAGAACATACTTCTGGTTAGCGTTTTTTTAGCGAGTTTGTTTTCTACGAGATGGGGTCGGTAACCTCATGCTCAACCCTCCTCCTTTATACGGGCTTGGGAGAGGTCATAGCTTTAGAGGGCTTCCAGGCGGGGTTTAAGGATATAGTTTCATTTATTAATTTTATTTACTTCAATGGTCTTCTTCCAATATTCCTATGTTTTGTAGCTAGTTTTAATTATATCATCTTTTTAGTATAAAACATTGTTATCTATGTATCTAAATAATTTAGGATCTCATGAAGAAAAAATGACAAGATATAACATGAAATAGAAACAAAGTGTTGTAATTATAAGCAAAGATGGATAATGGCTAGTAGTGGAATCCAGTTTTTTTGTCCTATTTGGGACTCATCAACTGGATGTGCCTGAATTCCAGAGTTGATGTTCGTGCGTCCTGAATTATCACTATCCATCTTCGCTTATAATACTTGTGAATTAAGTCAATATTAAGGCAATCTGTACAGAATGCACATATGCCAATAAAAGACTGACCAACTGCAGTCCTAAACATCAATGGGAAGATTCAAGTAAACAACACCAAATCATTGTGATGTTGTAAACTTATTAAATCTTGCTAACGATTTTGATCTTTGATTTGTTTTTCTGAAGATCAAACTGGATTGTTACAACCATTATTCCCTTCTTTAGAATACTGAAGTTTAACACTATTATCCGCTCTTTTAAACTGAGCAAATAATATGTTTTGATTAGTGAGTTATTTTTATCCCAACCGTTTGAATATTCCAATGATCCTTTTTTGTATTGTTTGACCACTGAGTAGTAAATACCATCATATTTGTTTAATATTCATCTCACAGAACAGATTCTGTCAATTAAGTTGTCTAAAAACTACTTACATTGAGGACTCAAGATCATGTGTACTGTCTTTATGTTATATACTTGATGGGATTAGTAAGTACCTCAGTATCTAAACTTTGAATAATTTCGCTCGTGCTGTGTCTGAGGTTTTTAGTAGATTGATGCTTAACACGCGTTCACCATTGCCTTAGAGGGATCGAAAGTGAGTCGTTCATACTCCAATTGGTCACTGAACAATGAACAGTATCACATCTATCAGAATTCTATAGATTAAGTTCATTCCATTAGTATCACAAACAAATCTTGCTGAATAGTGATATCCAACATGTAAAGTAGATCCTTCGCTTTCAACAATATGGTACTTTTAATAAGTTTCATTCAAATAGTTAAATCTGTTTTTAATCTATACATTAACTGAATACGATAAATCTGAATGTGAGACTACAATGACAGATGATATTTTTTGTTTATCTTGATCTAGTTTCTGACAAAATCAGGAATTTCTACATCATAACTCACCTTCAGATTGATGAAATAGGAAGCTATTCACAGTAAATTTAACAGTGTATAGTATCATTCTACAAAATAGTTATAAGAATCAAACTGATTTCGAACCTTTGTAATCATAGAAGCACATTTTATGATATTTTTAAACCATTATAATTAAACCACCATATTTTTCACCAAGAATCATCTGTGGTGGACCAGACAATATATTGACCCAAAAGATAATAACCGAGTTATTAATAACAAATAATAATATTTATATATATAAGTCAAATGTTATAAACACAATAGAAATAAGGAACGTTACTTAGTTCACCAGGAGAGTGCGTGTTCCAAATTGATCTGGTATTAAATATCCACAATTATAGATGGTTAATAATTCCATTAAGTTTGATGGATTCCCCAATGATATGATCTAGCAGTATATAAGATAGATTCCAATTACAGTCTGTAAAGGTAAATGATATTTGATTCAGACTTCAGTTAACACAAATGCGAGTGAATGTAGAACGAGACGTATGTGCGTAGTAGTGTATTTGTTAACAACTACAAAAGTGTGACGCTATGTTAGAATCACAACGGAAAAAGTGGTCAAGGTCATACACTTAAACAACAGGTACAATCATTTAATGATAAATGTACATGAAGTGGGAAATTGACAGAATAAATACAAATAACATTAAAAACTATTTACAAAATAAACTTGTCAGGCATATCTCCACACATCTATTATATTTAAACATTAAATACTGAGTAGACAGTGATTATGTTTGTTTGGCCCCCAAATGCCCTGGTACGGCCGAGAGTGGGGAGAGTCCGCTCTCCCTCTCGAAATGCTCTCACATGGCCACGCGTATATAGCCTCTGCCAGGGAAGTCCTACTCACTGCCTTCTCGTGGCGGGGGTGTTCTTTACGAAGATGAGAGGACGAAAAGCGAATTTCCGGCGCTTTAACCGGATCCCAAACCATTGGTGCACATGGGCTCCAGTATCCTGAGGGGACAAATGGCGTATGAACCAATCGTTGGTCACCGGCTACCATGGGACTGCATCTCCTCACGATGCTCCACTGCCTTGTGGACTAGACCCTTGGGTCAAAGGCTCGGGGTGTGGCCCCCTTAGAAAACCACCTGCTTCGGTTTGGGCACCCGGGCAGTATCACAGCCCTCACACAAATCAATTGAGATTCGTGTGGCGCATATGTACTTGGTGCCTCCCTGTACCTATACCTATGTGTTAAAATAAATAAATAAATAAATAATGTTTGTTTGAAATAACCCTGTTTTAGGTGTTTATTTATTAAATAATTCCAAGTTAGTGATTTAATTGACTTTCAACCAATCTAATGTAGAATTGAACCGCTCCTTACTTATTTCCGTATAAAAAGATAGGTAGTATTATTGAGTTAATCTTTTTCGGGTTTTGAACAGAGGTTCAGCATCGTGTGTTCGGGTGTAGAGATAATAATTTAATTGGTGTCAAATGATTGATCAAAGGATTATTATTTCTAATTTCTTCTCATGTTATTGTTTGTTTGTTTGTTTTTCTCTTTCAGGCTCATCAATTTTATCCATTAGTTCAAATTAATTGTTCTAAAGATTTACGATTTTTATTATGTTCTATATATACACCAATTTGTATCAAAGGTTATCCACATTTTTTACCACCATGTCGTTCTATATGTCAACGTGTTAAAGCTGGTTGTTCACCAATTATGGAACATTATGAATTTCCATGGCCAGAACGTATGAATTGTGAACAATTTCCAGAATATAATAATCCTGATGGTATATTATGTATGGAACGTAATTTAACACAAGAAGAACAATTAGAATATCAATCAATCAATATACAAAATCATGAACAATTTAAATCAATAAATCAATCAACAATTAATCAATTAAATGAATTATCAAATAATTTACATCTTACATCACATTTACAAACAACAAATCTAGATAATTCAATGAAATCATTATCATTAGAAGAGATTGAATTCAAGAATCAATTTAATAAAGATGCTAGTCATTTATTATTTGAAAAAGCAATACAAAATGATGATAATATTCGTAAATTAAAAATTACATTTCCTAATTTACATTTAAAATGTACATGTGATTGTAGACCACCATTAATAAATATTAAAAATTCAGAAATTAATAATCATGCAAAAGTAAGAATTTTATTGATTTTGTTCATTTTATAAATAAATCAAATCGTTAGTGATGAGCTTTATGAAGAAATTCTTGGAGTTTTTTAATGAGAGACAGTGATCAATGAAGCTAATCCATGTCAGATAGGGAAAGGTATCTATCTCGTTACAATGGAAGGTGGTCGAGTGATTTTGTGGATTGATTGAAGTTAGACATTAACACTGTCATATGCCGACTCAGTGATTCAGTAGGTTGTGTTCGCGTGCAAGACTTGGAAGCCTTGGGTTCGAATCCCGCGGGCGGGATCGTGGATGCACAATGCAGAGGAGTCCCACAATGGGACGAAACAGCCATCCAATACTTCCAGGTTCTTAATGGTGGTCTAAAATCAATCAGTTCATGGTCTCAATTTAAGATAAATGATTGTTTGGAAAGTGGATTTTAGTTAATCTTAGTTGCACAATATATTTTGAACAATCTGATCACATATCATATAGTTGTTAAGAATCATTGGATGCGCATTGTTGAAGAGTTCCAAAGTGGGACGAAACCGTTATCCATTGCATCCAGATTTTCTATGGTAGTCTAGATTCAGTTGACTCACGAATCCAACCATTAAAATTACCATAATATCCACAAAATCCCTTCCCTGATTATTATCATCATATGCTCACTAGTGACTGTCTTCAAGAGGTATTTCCTGGAGTTCTAGTGAGAAGCCGTAACCAGTGGAGTACGATCGCGTCTGTTGTGAGATAGTAACTCACTGAAGATAATGGTGGATTAGTTGAATTTAGTCATTAACACCGTTAGATGCAGGTTGACTCAGTGGTCTAGATGTTAAGCGCTCGAGCGCGAGATTGACCGGTCCTGGGTTCCGATCCCGTGAGGCGGGGTCGTGAATGCTCACTGCCGAGGAGTCTCCCAGTAGGACGAAACGTCCGTCCAGTGCTTTCAGGTTCTCCACGGTGGTCTAGCTTCAACTGATTCATGATCTCAACTATTAAAATTACTGTAACATCCAAAAAATCCCTTCTACTATTAATCATTTATATATAAGAATAAAAGGTCAACTAGACTAGAAATTGAGCGTAAGAGGAGACAAGAATAATAATATGGATACAATTCGAAACATCATCACTCGGGACAATAAGGTAATATTACCAGGATAGGTTTAAGGCCAGGTGTGAATTTTCGTATAGCTACGGCTTCAACACAAAAGTCCAGTTTTATGACATGTTTGAATTATATGTTTGGCAATAGAGGATGATGGATGTTTATCCTCTACTCTACTCTCATTTGATTCTATTCCTCTTACCCTCGATTACTAGTCTAGTTGACCTTTTATTATTCTATATAAATGTTCTTAACAAGTATATATGTGATCAGAATGTATTGCGCTAATATGTCATCATATAGTTCTGATAATCTTTGTCTTCTTATTACACTATCCAAATTTATCAAACGGGGCTAACTGCTTTAAATTATCTTAGTTGATTTAGTGCAAGATTATTTATTTCGGTCAAGTCAATAGTTTAAAGAATGTTATGTCTACCATTCATATTTGTTTACATAGATAGTTTTAAAAAATTCTGATGAAAAGTTATAATTGTTGAAATTAGTCAAATCAAGGATTATTGAGCAATTCAATGGTGATTTTGGATTTTAATTTACATAGGATATTGCAAAATTATCAAGCAATATCTTTGATCAGTAACCATCTCAGTGTATATATGACTAAATTTTCACCGATTACAGTTTTCCACTAGAACTTTGAGAGTTGTGTTTTGAAACTAATCATCAGCTCATACATAGTTGCTGTCAGTATAGTAATTTTGTGGAGATTGTCGAACGTTGTAGTTTATCTTATATGCTGACTGAAGCTAGATAATTATCATAAACTAGAGAACATCAATGGTGGGTAACTACTTCTTGTTTAACATGGTTGAGGTTAGCAATGTAACAAATCACTAACGCCATTCATTTAACATATCGCATTAGTCTCTATGACGTATCTTGTGAGATCTTAGAGGATCATTTTAAAATGATTTCAGAATTTACTATAACACAGTAATTCTTCACATAGATTATTTATGTTGTCGTTTAAACCCAGTGATCTAATTGTAACGTAAACATCGGGAGGCCTCTGGATTGTTTAACAGACTCCCAGTAGAATTATACACACAAAATGATATGCCTAAACAAAACAGTTGTTCATTGCCCCTTGATTTTCACGGGTACTGTTGTGATGGGCGGTGTCCAAAATCTGATACTGATACACGGTGTACTACACGCTAACCTCCCAAATTGACTATCTTAAGTGGGGACAAAGGGATGAGCGAGAAATTGTATTGGGCTAACGAATAAAATGCACAAATACTTTTTCATATATTCATCACTCTAATCCTTAGGAAATTGGTCCATTTCTTAGCCAATGAAATTCACTTGTCCCTTGGGTCACTTCTGACTGCCGTCGATTAACCTTCTCACTTGGCTACTTCTCATTGGCCCTCCATATCAGGTACCTTAGTTAATATTAACCCTTAAATTATACTTTCTTTGTAGTAAGTTAACGATTAACAGTTACCATAATGATGAACATTATTGCATTCAAAAAGAATAAACATTTTTAAATGATTTCATTTCATTTCTGGAATACTTTCATTACTGGCTATCAATTTATAAGTTCTGTTCCCTTGAATCAGATTAGGTAACTAACCATATGCAATTGTATAATTTAAGGAAAATCAAATAGTTTAAAAATCACCATATTCAGGGATGAATAAATAATTATGATCAGATTAGGGTTTGTAGAGATTGGATTAATTCTTAATAGTCGAATTTATGAGTTGATGTAAGCTAGACCACCATTGAAAATCTGGAAGAACTCGACAGACCTTTCGTCCTAGTATGGGACTCTTCAGAAGTGCGTATTCACGATCCCATACATAGGAGTCGAGCCTAGAACCTTCGTTCTCACACACGAACACATAATCTCTAAGCCATTGAGTCTTCATCTGACCGTATTAATGTCTAACTTCCATCGATCTATGAATGACTACGCAATCATCCATACCTATCTCTACCCAACATAGATTGAATTCCACTGATCATGTACATACATAGATGACAAAAACATATGAATTTATTAATTTATCTAACTAACCAATAATTACATGAGTATTTAACTAGACAAAGTTTCCTCTTTCCATTTATATTATTATGTAATAAACTATGAGAAAATAATGAAATACATCTTCTGAAAACATGTAACATCAAAACAAGAGAGAAAAAAAAAACACAACATTACATAATACCATTGATTATTAAACACTATAGGTGGCCATTAGAAAACATGAATAACAATACAGTAAATTAAAACAATTCTAGAAAAGTTAATGAATAATTATTGTTAATCATAATGTTGTGTAGGTTGTGTATGTGTATATGTGTGTGTGTGTGTACGCTCACATAACCGTGTACATGTACACTTATTTGGTAATGTGTATAATTGATAAGTTCCTGTATTTATTTTTAACATACAATTACTGATTGTTTTGTCGTTAGAGAAAGTTGAATATAGAAAAATAACCCATTTCCAATGGTGTCTGAAATATAAAATTACAAAGGTACATTAATGATTGTTTGATTGATTAATTCATTGATAACAATCATTGTACTATTTGTTGCATTGGATATTTAGTAAGTTGTCTATGTAATATGATGATTATTTCATTTGCACTAGTTTTTGTTAAAACTCCGCCTAGAGTAACAGGCGCAAGTAAATGAGTGAGTATGTAAGTAAGTGAGCAAGTAAGTAAGTAAGTAAGTAAGTAAATGAGTGAGTATGTAAGTAATTAAGTGAGTAAGTAAGTAAGTAAGTAAGTAAGAAAGTAAGTAAGTAAGTAAATGAGTGAGTATGTAAGTAAGTAAGTGAGCAAGTAAGTTTCTGTTTAAATTTGATTATTTCAGTCTAATATTAGATTAAATTAAATTGAATAATAATGCCCATTTGAATTATGAATAAAATTTGTTGATTTAAGTAGTATTATGATTCAAATAGTCTCAATAATGTAATAAGAAGACAGAGATTATCAAATAGTCGCTTAGTATTTATAAATATACACTTTTATATATTTACTAATATTGTGAAACGCATGAAAGTCATGAATTTATTGTTAATAAACATGTAAACTCTTCTAAACCAGTATAGAGAGATTATTGGATTTTATAGTTTTACACTAAAGACTGACCTTAGTTAGATATTCGGTGAAAACTAGGAAGAGTTAATACAACTATTTGTAATTAAGATTATGGATGGATTCTGTTAGCTTATGCCAAACTATAAGCAAACAGCCATATAGTGATTATCTACTTCAAGTCACTCCGTAATGAAAAAAATTACGATGTTTCATAAGAGTATCATCTTTGAACTTATGGTAATCTTCACCATTAAAATCAAGAACTGATCTTAATTAGCACAACATTGAGAATGTGAATGAGCTGAACAGCCGTTTTATCCTAAGACAGAACTCCTCGGAAGCGCGCACCCACGACCCCATATGGAGGAATCAGACATAATGCCTACAGTCTAGCATGCGAACGCGTAAACTTAAAACCGCTGAGCCGATATCTATTAGTTTCAATGCCCGAAGATTAGGAGTTCATGCACGAGAATGAAGGAAGTGAGTCTGATTTCTATGTACGTGGTCGTGGATGAGCACTTCTGAAGAATTCTATCCCAGGAAAAAACGGCTGTCTAGCGCTTTTACGCTTTCATTATTGTGTTTGTTAAGATGGATTCTTGATTTCAACGGTGAAAATACGAAAATGTTTGCAAAACACTGATACTAATTATAATCATTTGTTGACTAGAACAATAAAAAACAATTAAAAATAGATTACAACCTATCATGAATTAGGTTCAGAACTTCTTTTGAATTTAACAAACAACCAACATGTTCTTCTCGTCGAATTTACTGATGTACACTTGTTAAGTTTAACTTTATTTTTAAGTAAATAATTGAATTTAAATTCACTTGGTATTGTTTTACTCAAATCTCTCCATTGACGTTTAGCACTACAATTGATCAGTCTCTTATAGCTATATGTGAATACTGTGTGTATCGACTCGATATTGCCTTAATTCACAAATATTATAAGCAATGATGGATAGTGGCTAGCAATGGAATCTAGTTTCACGCGCATCTCCTCCTATTTGAAACACGTCAGCTGGATGTACATGTACCGTTCGCTTCAGATGTCATCGCGTTATCCACTTAGCTAATGGTCTTATAGCGTTGAAGAATTAAAGTTAATTACATATTATCGCAACTAGGAATTATTCCTGAAACTTAGAAATTGTAAAGAGTTGAGTAAAATTGAAACATTTTTAGTATGCTTCGAACTCAAAAAAATTTGTAGGTCAAGTAGATGCTTTTAATAGTGCTGTATTCATTAAACAGGATAATTTAAGTGCCAAGGTTTCATTGTTGCTATAAACAAAGTCATTGGAGCTTACTTTAAGGATAAATGATCCTATCACTAAGGAAGATTTAAATTATGAAGATAGCGTATATGAAATTTCAGTATGTCAACTATTCCTTATCCATCTATTTTAAATGACTTATGTATTCCGTCAATGACTTATTCATATACTACCGAAAACACTTTAGAACTATAAGTCAGCCAATCAGCTACAACGTAGGACCAGGCACATATATGCATTGGTCCTAGGTGCCGCAGCTCATTAGCACAACATGATGAGCACTAAATTCATAGAAATAGCCAATTCAATGGTAGTAATGTATAAAAGAAAGATCGTGTATAAGGATTTAATACAGGAAGAAAGAATTAGTTTGTAGAAAGAAAAAGATAAAGCAATTTCAATCTCGCGGTTTATGGGCAGACAAAGAGTGCGTACAAACCAACTCCATTGTGATCGATTCTGAGCCATGTCACCCAGCGTCTACAACCAAGTAGTCTGCATCTACCGAAATGGTTCAGACCAGAAGTTAGTGACCTCAAGCACTGATGCCACATTTAGGTTGGGCTGTCCCTAATTTTCTTTCAGCCGTCTCCAACACTAGTCAGCATCCCGAGTCGTGGTAATCGGTGTTCAGGCATAAGTAACACGTGGCCGAAATATCTCAGTCGATGAAAATTTACAACCTCATCAATTGATTTACCATCACTCCCTAATACCCTGCATCTAACCTCACTATTACTTACCCTATTATCCCAGCAGATGCTGGCAATATTTCTAAGACATCTGTGAAGAATACTCAAATGTTAAAGTAGATCTCATCATGATTTGACACACCTTATCAGTTCGAGTTTGATTAAGGAGTTGTTCAATACTTCATTACTATGTGTTTCAAGTATCACAATGTATATTAGGTACCATTCGGCTAATTATCAGAAATTCAACAATCCTTACTTTTCATCAGTATAGGGTTTTGGAGATTATTAAGTTTTTGATTGAGATCATGAACCGATTAATGTTAGACCACCATTGTAAATCTAGAAGCACTGGACTGCCCGTTTCTTTCTATTATGGGACTCCTCAACAGTGTACATCCACGATACCATTCATGAGATTTGAACCCAGGGCCTTCAGTCTCGCATATTTATTTAATATGGAACTTTTCTCATTCTATTCAAATCAAATTCATTTTGTTTAAACAATAATAATAATATTCTCTTTTCTTTATTATTTTCTAGATAACAGTAGCTGATATTAAAGATTGTTCAATGCCATGTTATACACCATATTATACATTTGATTCATCATATAATTTTACAACATTTTGGCTTGGTATATGGTCAACATTATGTGCTATTTCAACAATTATTACAATATTTACATTTATTACAGATTCATATCGTTTTCAATATCCTGAATTACCTTTAATTTATTTATCTGCATGTTATTTTATGATATCTATAGGTTATTTAATTCGTGTATTTATGGGACATCAAGCAATAGCTTGTGATAGTTTACCATATGAATATGAAAATATACAATCTACTATGAATAGTAATAATAATAATAATTGGTTTGATTACAATCCAACTAATATTCATAAAAATAATGAAAATTTAAAAAATGTAACACTTTTACCAAATCCATTAACAACAATCACTAAGGCAACATTAACAACATTAACAATGAAAACAACAAATCAATTAATACGTTCAAAAATTTTACGATATGCATTAACTGGAAGAATTAGTTGTGCAATTGTATTTTTATTAATTTATTTTTTTACTATGGCAGCTTCAATTTGGTGGGTTGTATTAGCACTTACATGGTTACTTGCTGCAGGTTTAAAATGGGGTAGTGAAGCAATATCAAAATATTCTCAGGTAATATAAAAATTTTATTTTAACAATGTGTTTTATTCTTTACAATGTTTAATTATGAAACAATACTGATATATATATATGTATATATATATATATATATATATATATATATATATATATATATATATATATATATTACTTTCGCCTGTTACTCCTCGTGAAGGAGCACTGAAGTCAGACATCGAAGTAACTACAAACATGCTGCATCTTTTATTCAAGAAGATTTGGGAAGAGGAACAAGTGCCGATGGACTGGAAGGAAGGACACCTCATCAAAATTCCAAAGAAAGGAGACCTGAGCAAGTGTGAAAATTACAGAGGCATCACTCGATGTTGTTTACTTGTATCTTTCTATCGTAATTTAGGACTGTGATTGATCAGTCTCTTGTTGGTATATGTGCATACTGTGCGAACTGCTTAGATATTGACTGAAGTCACAAGCTTTATAAGTAAAGATGGATAGTGGCTAGCAGTAGAATCCAAGATACACATCTCGTCATATTTGGCACTTGTCAGTTGGATTTACCTGCATCATAGAGTTAATGTTCACTCTTGGACTAGGACTCAGTACCGTTCGCTCCAAACGCCATCATCTCAGTGTGCATATCAACTCTGAGATGCGGGTACATCCACCTGATGAGTCTCAAATAGGACGAAACGCGAGTTCTGGATTCCAATGCTAGCGACTAACCATTTTTGCTTATAAATACTGATATATATACCGGTTGAATAAGTTGGTGGCTATGAGAACTCAGTAGGTCACTGGATAACTTGTTAATCGTTGAAGTGAAGGGTATTCGTTTAGAGTCTTAGTGTGAATATCATTATTAATATCCAGGTACATTTAACTGACGAGCTCAAAACAAAACGAAATACGTGTCCTAAATCGGAATGTTAGTCGCATGCCACATATAGTTTATATATTTGATTGCTATTCATGTAGATTATATCAATCAGATTATTTCCTCCTCCTCTTCCCCCTCCCCCCTCTTAGAAATGTAATTTACATTATGAACAACCACTAACCATCTGATATCAAATTATGGAGTTCTAAAGTGTTGTAAAGTGTAATAACAGTTTTTCTTAAGAATATAGAAAACTACAAACAAATTTAAGCTAAACTCATTATATCACAGTGACAACCAAAAGGAATGTTCCTTTTGATTCTTGAGGTTAACTACTGAAATTTACTTTTTTTTGAATGTCAAATTCAAGATTTCAGGAATAGGATAAATTTCCTTGAATTTATATAGTCCATCTGCTTTACAATGTCCAATATATGTACCATCACTTTATATTCATTTCTTAAGTAAAAAACTGTATATAAGAGTCCAGTTTTCACTGAAGATTAGATTTTAAGCTATAACTTTTATCTGAAAAGTTGAGCTGCGCTATAGTAACATATTCACAGAAGATATATGTCAATAGCTTAAGATTATCAAATTGAAATCTTCAATGGAAACTCTTCTTATATATCCACTAATAACCCACTAAATAAATGGAAAATAAGTGTTTAAACAAGCTAGATATTGAACTTTTCATTGAATTATTTTATTTATTTTATTTTGAAACATAGATATTGGTACAAGGAGGCACCAAATACATATGCGCCACACAGATTTCATTTGATTTGTGTGTAAGCTGCGATACTGCACGGGTGCCCAAACCGAAGCAGGTGGTTTTCTTAGGGAAGCCACACCCCGAGCCTTCGACCTGAAGGTCTGACCCACACGGCTGTGGAGCAACGTCAAGAGATGCAGTCACATGGTAATCGGTAACCAACAATTGGTTCATACGCCAATTGTTCCTTCAGGATATTGGAGCCCATATGCACCATTGGGTTTGGATCCGGACATTCGCTTTTTGTCCTCTCATTTTCGTAAAGAACACCCCCGCCACGAGAAGGCAGTGAGTAGGACTTCCCTGTCTATGTGAGAGCATTTCGAGAGGGAGAGCGGACTCTCCCGACTGTCGATCATACCAAGGCATAATTGTCACAATGATTATGCTATTTAATAATACTTCTTCTATGTCTTAGTAAAAATCAGTGAAACTATAATTTATGAACGGACCAATCAGATATAAGTTAACAACTCTTGAATTTTAGCGCAAAATTCATGATGATAAACTTAAATCTAATTTCTTACTTTAATCATCAACTATAAATCCTAATTCTAATCCCTAACACTGGTTTATAACACTCATTTGATCCTAGTTATTAAGTGGACACTCTGAAGGTCAGTCTAGTGTCACTCAAATATCATCCATAAATTATAATCTCATCAAAATAATCTAATGATCAATTTAGGTGTTGTTGATATTGTCAAGTTTTTGATTGAAATCGTGAACCGATTAATGTTAGACCACCATTGTAAATCTGGAAGCACTTGACAGCCCGTTTCTTCCTATTATGGAACTCCTTAGCAGTGTACATCCACGATATTACTTATGGGTTTTGAACCCAGCACCATTGAGCCGACCGGCATCCAATGGTGTTAATGTCTAACCTCAACCAATCCATGAAGTTGCGCGACCATCTTTCATGGTATTAAGGTAGACACCTGTTTCTACTCAACGCCGATTAGCTCCACTGGTCAAATATTCTTTCTTTCTTTCTTTCTTTCTTTTTTACTTTTTTCTTTTTAGGTTTTTCATTTTATTGCATGGTCATTACCAGCATGTCAAACAGCTTTAGCATTATTATTATCTATTGTTGAAGGTGATCCAATTAGTGGTTTATGTACAATACAATCTAATAAATCAATAATATATATTATATTTATATTTGCTCCATTATTAATTTATTTAATAATTGGTATTATATTTATGATAATTGGATTTATTGCATTATTTCATATTCGTGGTACAATTAAATTACAAAGATCACGTATTATAGAAATACAAAAATTAAATAAATTAATATTACGTATTGGTATATTTGGTATATTATATACTATACCAAATATCATTATATTATTTTCTATTGGTTATGAATTACATAATACATATTTATGGCAATTAGGTATTGCATGTCATTGTCATTATGATATTGGTCAATATAATCAAATCAATAATCATAATAATAATAATAATGAAGAAGAAGAAGAAGTATTAGAACCAATATTACCTATTGCATTACCAATATGGAATTCACCAAAACCACAATATATTATATTTATGTTAAAACATTTTATGAATTTAATTATTGGTATTACAATAGGTTTTTGGATATGGTCTAATAAAACAATTGAATCATGGAAAAAATTTTGTTATCATAAATTATGTTTATTACAATTAAATAAATATAAAAGTAATAGTAATGGTTTATTAATTCATCCAAATAATATTGATTATGATAGATTACAAAAAATGTCTATTAAACAATCAATACAATCGATTACAAAATTAAATAATACCTATCATCATAAATCAATAAATCAGAATTCAATTCATCAATATCCTATATTGATTGATCATAATAATAATAATAATAATAAACATTGTAATACAACTATAATTACTACTACTACTACTACTATTACTACTATGACTACTACTACTAATAATAATACTATATCATATGATTTGATAAATAATGGAATATTATCTAATATAAATCCATTAGTTAATTTAAGTACATCATCTACACCATTTTCTACACATTCATATGATATACCTAATCATCATGATCTACAATATAAATCATCATTGAATGCATATTATTCTATAGATGGTAGTACAATTTCACAACAATATGGAGATGTAAATTCTTATCATACAAATAATAGTTTTAATAATAATAATTATAATAATCATAATAGTAATGGTAATGTTGATAATAAATTCATGATAACAAATACAAAAAGTTTTATAACACAATTATCTGGTAATTCAATTAATCCTAGTTTTTCTACATTAAGTAGTAGTTTCAATAGTCCGCATAAATCTTCAATATCTCATTTGAATAATGCTAATGCTAATGCTATTAATAATAATAATTCCATAAGTACAGGAATTTCAAGTAGTGGAATTAGTAGTACACATATAAATGATGGTTTAACAAGAACTGCATCAATACTTAATGGATTTGAATTCAATTCTAATTCTATATCACCTAAATTTATTGATTATTATGTTAATGATGAACAAAGAAATCGTGAATTGATTGGATCACAAGTAACAATAACAACAACAACAACAGCAACAACTGCAACAATGACAACAACTACTTCTGCTATTACTACAACTGTATACCCAGTTATCAAATATGATCGTAATATTGATGAGAATAATTTAAGACGAAATAATCATTCCGGTTTTGTGAATAATCAATTTGTTTCAAATATGATTAATGAAAATCGTAAAAAGTAAGTTAATGTTAACAATATTCTATGATTGTTTTAAGTAGTCTTATTCAGTAATAGGAAAAATTTTATACATAGTTTATTACTATGGAATGAAATTGGTTAGTTATTATGATAATTATTTATTAAGGATATACTTGGGTGACATGGCTCAGAATTGATCACAATGGCGTCGGTGTATACACTCTCTGTCTTCCTTTAAACTAAGAGATTAAAATCGCTTCATATCTTTCTTTCTAGGAACTAATTCTTTCTTCTTGTACTATCTCCTTATACACAGTCTTTCTTCTATATATTACCACCACTGAATTTACTACTTCTATGAATCCGGTGTTCATCTTGTTGTGCTAATGCGGTATGGCAACTTGGACCGATACATATACGTGCCTGGTCCTACGTTGCAGCTGACTGACTGGCTGAACTAATTTTATGAAATGAATTCCGATATATTATTGAGAAACTCTAATCAATAGAATTCAATCATGTTGGATATGAGGCCGTTACTCAACAAAAAAAAATAATATTGAAAGATGGTTACTCAACTGATGTAAACTAATTGTTGTTATGAATGTGAACCACTGAATATTGAATGTTAAATACTTGTCAGGAAATCTAAACATTATGGATTTGATCCTTAATGGAATAATGGATAATGACTATTGAAAAGTTACATACTAAGACAAAATAGTCATACTAAGGCTTACTGGCTTTTATTGTTTAATTAACTAATATCAATTGGTGATCTGAACTATAAAGCTTACTACTGGCCATAAACCACTTACATTATCAATGTTATTATACAAGGATAAGACAACTTTAGAGTTGTATAATTTTAGGTCTATGGTTAATATAAACTATGAAGAAATGACAAATTTTTTCTTTCCACACACATGTTACTTATAGGATATGGTTTCATTGATATATAAGATTGTAAGTATAGATTGTATACAGTTCTATAAACTTGAATCAAACTAATTTCCTAATGAACCATTCGTAAATAGAGTTTAATATCAATAATGATAGCAACTTGTTATTAATTCGTAATAATTATCAATTTTATGTATATTTAGTATCTAGGTGGCATTAAAAATTCATGAAGCTTGATTTATTATATCGATTTATCTATTGGATCCACAAAAGTCATCAATATGCTCAGCAGTTATGAATAATAATAAAATTTAACTTTCTTAGATATATGAGTACAAATTATGGAAAAAGATTAATTTTTTTGATTGAGACCATGAACCGATTGATGTTAGACCACCGCTGGAAACCTGGGAGCATTGAATGACCGTTTTGTCCTAGTAAGGGACTCCTCAGCACTGCGCATCCATGATATTGCCCCTCGAGATTTGAACCTGAAACCTGTCGGTCTCGCCCTCGAACGCTTAACCTCTAGACCGCTGAGTCGGCCGGCATTCAACAGTGTTAATGTCTGACTTTAAATTAATTTATTCACCAGGTACTTGGATGGGAGCCACAATCCGAGTGATACTACTATTCGATTGCTCAAACCAAGATAGAAAGATTGGAATTCGATTCTAGGACTTAATAATTAAAAGATGTACGCATTAACTACTAATTCATCGTTTTTTTTGCACATTTTGCTAATCCCTACAGCTAAAAATAAATTAAGGATTTTATCTTCCTCCTCAAAAAAATAACTCACTTAAATATAATCATAGCTAAGCTCAACAGAAATTCGTTAGTAAAGATCTGCTCATTTTTCATTAACATGGAAGGATACCATAAATTGCGAAAATATAAAGTAAATTTACATTACAGACAGTACAGACGACTATGCTAAAGATCAAATTCAAGACTAATATTCTCATAACTAGGTGTAAACAGTTAAGATGTCCCATACTAAAACGAAACAATTATTTAATAGACAGATAGTTCTCATCTAAACATTGAAAACATGAAGTTCATCGAAGGGATCTCTTTTCAACGAATTTATTATCAAGCTGTACAATCGTATAAATATATATAAATGTTTTGTTAAAGTACTAGTTCTGTGAGGAAATGTGAACAAAGAATAACCAGGATGATGTCATAGAGAGATCATAATACTAGATTACGTAATACGAATATTATTAATAATAGACTTAATAAGTTAGTAACGAATTATAACGTGAATGTAATAAGATGATTAAAATGTTTTCGTTGTAATTAAAGGTAATAGAGGTGCAAAATAAATTAATTCATATCATGAGCGACCATGAGAAGAAATCTGATTGTTCCGTTCTACAGAAAAATACCTTTATATAAGTTCGGAATTCAAAGGTGATCGAGCATCTGTTGTAATCAGAAATTGTTTAACGACAACGATAAAAAGAACATTTAATGCGACAAAACTGCGAATAACGTTCACTAGTGGGAACTTGTTTTCTGTATCCATAATAGATAAGCTTCCACGTCTATTCACCTCCATATGCATCTACCACTTCACCTGCTCTTGTGGAGTAAGGTACATTGGTCAAAGCCTGCGCTCGCCTTCAACGCGGATACGGGAACATATCCTAGTTTGGTTCTACAAGTTTGAGAGGGAAACAGTTAGGAGTTACATACTTGAACATCTAATCAACTGTAATCACTCTGATAATCCGCAGTTTGATTTTAAAGCTGTATATACGATTCATCCAAATCTACATAAATTTATTCGTATCTAACCCCTAAAAATAACCGTAGTCCTTACCATCCATGAGATCAAGCCAGAACTATGCGTGCAAAAGAAGTACGTCCCATCGTTATCGTTACCCTGGCCTTAATGTATTATTGCTATTACTACATTTCTCCCTTTACTTATGTCTCATATTCGCACTATTTCCTTCATAATAGCTCGAGATATAACTTCATTTATTTTGCACATCTACTACCTTTAAATACATACAATTATTAGAACAAAAACGTTTTAATCATCTTATTACATTCACGTTATAATTCGTTACTAACTTATTAAGTCTACTATTATTAATATTCGTATTACGTAATCTAGTACTATTATCTCTCTATGACATCATCTTGGTTATTCCTTGTTCACTATTCCTCACGAAATTGATATTTTAACAAAAAAATATATTCAGAGAGGGGTTTTGTGGATATTGTAGTAAATTAATAATTGAATTCATGAGTCAATTGAAGCTAGACCACCATGATAAACCTGAAAGCACTAGACGGCCATTTCATCCTAGTATGGGACTCCTCAAAAGCGCTCATCAACGATCTAGCCCCGCGGGATTCGAACTCAGGATCTCGCACGGTCTCGCACGCGAATGCTTGTATATACGTTGAAAAGAGATCCCTTCGCTGAACTTCATGTTTTTCAATTATTTAATATTCTCTATGAATAATGGAGGCTGTTTTCTTTTTATGGCTCCATTTCTCATTCACAAAATAATGATAATATGTAATTATAATTTAATCTAATGTAATCTAACCATAACATGTCTAAAACTATGTTTTCAAAAATTAAGTTTCCAATAATAATACTACTAACAATCTTTAAGTAGTAAAAAACGAATCATAAAAAAACAACCGGAAATTATTGAGGATTGACTTGTCTGAACAAAGAGAAATAGCTATCCACATTATATTTTACAATTCATTACCAATTTCTCGAAGATTGATAATTAAAAGAAATAGAAAATCATAAAAATAAAAAAAATTAGAAAAAATTACTCTACAGGTGAAAAGAACAAGACCCAGATTGTTAGCACGTGTGTGTATGCGTTTGTCTGTAAATATTGAATGGGAAAAAATTGTTCAGTGGGTAACATTGTAATTCTTTAATTAATGAAACAAGTTCCTTGTTATAATGAATTAAAAGTGAAGTGATCACTTCACTAGATTATTTACTTATTCATTTGAATTGATTGATAGAGAATACAAAAGAATTATGCTAATAGTAATACTATACTATTAATCATAAACATAAGTTTAAGTAAAGGAAATAAGAATTTATTTTGTAGACATCTAGACAACTGGTTTGTATGTGTGTAACTTTTTCATGTATATACGTACATAAACTATCTGACTCTTTCTGAAAAAAGAACAGTAAATACTACTACTGGATAATTGATAGGAGTAGTACTTTTGAGTGTGTCATTTTTAAGTGTGTTTTTGTTCTCTGAACTGAATGGTTTAGTCGTGAAAGTTTCATTGTTCTTCTGAATAACATGAACAACATCAGCACATTTTTCAGGTAGAAGTGAAGTGTTCAAATTTCTTCACATATGACTCATAGCTTGTTCTGTCGATCTCAATCTAGATTGAATATGGTTGACTTTTAACCTGTCATTGTTTAATTATTTATTTTGATTGTATCTCCCATTGATTTAATTCTTGGTCCTATATTTGTGCATGGTTTTTTCTGGTTGGTTAATAGATTGAACTGATTTCAATGTGTTTGTTGATTGCTAATTGACTTGAGTGTCAAGCTTCTAAAAATCCCCTAATACTTTTATTATTCCCTCTATCCAAAATCTCGATATTTTTAAAGTCGAATTCTTAGTTGTCCAAATGTATTGATATAAGTGAGTATATGTCATGGTGTGTGCCGGCCAATTGATATCCTTGCAATCGAAGACGAAGGGGGCGTTCACTTTGTCCGATGTACTCCTTTGAGCAGTCGTAACAATTTATTTTGTAAATGGTGTCCGATTTTTCCTCTTTAGTCATTTTATCCTTTGATTTGCATAGGATTGATTGAAATGATTTTGTTGGTTTGTGTGCTACATCTATTCCAAATGGTTTCAATAATTTCGTTATAATTTCTGATATATCCTTTACATATGGTAGGATGATCTGTTTATTGGCTTCCGTACTTGATTTTGTTCCTGCCGATGAGTTGGGTTGGTAATTTATTCTTTTGAGAGACAAATACTCTTCTTTTATTTTTCAGCACTGCAAGTGTATTGCAGTCTGTTCATTTTTTTTTGTAAAATAAAAGAGTAAATTAAAAAATATATTCAAAAATTAGCTGGATAAATTTCAGGATGACAATCGTCTAGCTTCAGTAATTAAAAAGCTGATGAAAATCTTATATACTGCCGAGAATTATGAATGGGAACTCTTGAAAATTATTTATGGAGCAATACGATGCATACATTTTTAATAATTGAATCTATCAGTCAATTGTAGCTAGACCATCATGAAAACCTGGAAGCATTAGACGGGTGTTTCGTCATATTATGGGTCTCCTCAGCAGCGCGCATCCACGACCCTGCCGCGTGAGGTTTGAAACCAGGACCTATCAGTCTCGCACTCGAACGCTTAGCCACTAGACCACTGAGCTGGCTGGTCATGAAAGTCTGCGCTGAAGATGTCGTTCAAAAGAACGATGAAAGCTCCACGACGAAATCATCCAGCTCAAAGAATAAAACTCTATCAAAATCATCCACCTAAGCTCCGAATCTTCTGTACCACTACATTATTCCATATTCTTTCTTTGAAAATCCTTTTTAAAACTTATGTTGTAGTTATTTGTGATTGTATTTGATTCATATTACATATAAATATATTATTCTATGTTGCTTCTTTTTCCAAAAACAAAAATGTTTTTTAGCAACTTATCGTTGGTACAATAAACTAATGGATATTGAACATACGTTAGAATATCTTCGTTTGAATCCGTATTGAAATCAGCAAAAGAAACTATGCAACAATTAGATAACATCATCATTTATCAATTAATCGAATTGGTTTTGAATAACTTTTATTTAATAGTATGCAGTTACATATCACATGAATAAATTTACATACCAAAGATAATATGTTTGATTGAATTGTATAATAAATAGAGGCTATAAATGTGCCTTGAATATGTATCGTTCATACTTCTTCATATATAAGCCTATATTCATATAATTTCTTTCAGTTTAATAATTTTCATAAATGTAATGTGTAAACTATTAAACAATGATAGTAATTTGTTCAATATGGTTTGTATTTTCTTCGCATTTAATAGTAATATTCATACTTCACATAGCAATCAATTCATGTGTTCAATATTTAATGTATATGACAATCTAACACGGGTTTTTTTTTATTTGTAAATATACTTTGTTATTTTAAGTTGCACTATTTCATGTTCATGGATATGCCAAATCACAGTTGGATATTTAGTGATTAGTTTTATGCTACTAATATGTTTTTCAGTAGATAAATATTTTAAACAAAATTAAACATGAGGTCGGATACTGAAGATTTTACTGGAATCATAAACCGATCAAGGTTAGATCACCATTGAAAATGTGGAAGCACTCGACGACCATTTTGTCCTAGCATGGGACTTTTCAGCAAAGCGCATCCATTACCAAATCCTTTGGTAATGAATCCGAATTACTAGAGTGTCACCATATAGTTATCAGTGCTTTGAATACTATTAATAATCAAGAAATATTATACATGTAAATCGATTTGAATGAAAAAGTACTGTGTCTCACATGAGTTAATTACCAAACTGTAACATAGCTCAGATGAGAAATCATACTTTAAAGTTAATCCTAAAACAAGAGGTAGAAAATTGAATAAACGGTACATAATTTAGTAGAAGTAATTAACGAATAATCTGGTGTATAACTTACTAACACATCTCGCCTACTTTACACAACGAATAACAACAATTAACTAGAATGGGTTCTGGGTGTTACCTTTCAGAAACACCCATATATCGTTTAAAACTGATGAAGTTATTGAAGAGTAGTTCATATGAAGAGAACTGAAAAAGGAACGAATAGAGAGATATGAATATAATTGGATACCGAAACACGTAGTGAAATAAGAGAATGTAATAAAAGAAGAAGTGACATGTTATCATATTGAAACAATTAAATATGCTCAGAAGGAGTTTTGTGGAGATTGTAATAATTTCATTAATTGAGATCATGAGCCAATTGAAGCTAAACCACCATGGGTTAGTTGAAGTTAGACATTAACACCATTGGATGCCGGCCTGCTCAGTGGTCTAGTTGGTTAAGCGCCTGGTACGAGACTGATAGATCCTGGGTTCAAACCCCGTGGGGCGGGGTCGTGGATGTACACTGCTGGGGAGCCTCATGACAGGACGAAACGGCCGTCTGGTGCTCCCAGGTTTTCCTTTATGGGTTAGCTCCAATGGACTCATGATCTCAATTATTGAGATTAAATGTACTATTATATTGTCTGTATTAGAAACAGATTACTGATAAATAACAAGTAGTATAATAGTAATAACAAACTAAATTTGGAAAACCTTAAGCAACCTTCATGTAAATCGTGAAATACGAAAACAAATATAAATCTAGCATGACATGAAATGATATTCAAATGAAGTAAGGTATAGTGTAATATTTAACAAAAACCATCCAGTAGGTGTTAACTATAAATTTAACATTGATGTGAAATAAAGTTGCAAAAAAATTGATCGAATTTTGTGTAGTAAGTTACATATTTGATAAAACTCATATAGAGGTTATAGTTGAGTCAACAGATATTATGTATACAAGTCTAGTAAGATTTCAGGGGATGTTTCATTATTTTGAACAGGAACAAAGAAAAACCACTTGAATACCAAGACATATTCACTTCAATTTATGAAATCTGGTAAATTTTCCAGTTTGTTATTCAACCGAACTGACACTACTTATGTTACCAATGTGATGGTGTAAGAGCATATTTTAGAGATGTTGTTAAACTGCCATACTAAATTATAACTAAGTTGAAGAGTTAAGTTGTTAGCAATTTCTCAGACTTACACTCTTAAATAAGTTGGTTAAAGTAAATACAATTCACTACGTTATAACTACGATATTTAGGACATAAATTAAAATTCAGTCTTATAATGATTCAAACCGCCACGTTTTCCCGACTAATCAATATATTTCTAATGATAGTAGCCTGTTAACGGTTAGAAACAAACTTCAGTTGATAACATTCACATACGAAACAAATCTAAGTAGTAAGTTATAAAAAATCTATTAGGCCGATCCAAGACAAGTTTAACAGTTCTACTCAAAAGGCTGAGTTGTACGTGAAATCCTGAAACTAAAAAATAAGATTGGTTCAATAATGCATCATTACAATGACAAAATGTGCTTTTCTTTGAACGACACAATCAAGAGAGATTCACCTATCTAAATTAACCAAGACCAATTACTCAGTATGTTTCATAATTGAGCAAACTATTCAAAACAAACAAAATTTATAACAGTGGATCATATAAGAAGGATTAAACGACAAAAGGATACATAGATAATACTACAGGCGGAAATAAAAATCGATGCATTAAACTGCTGGTAAAAATGGATTAGTTTATCTGAGACACATTTAAACTAATACCAATCACCTAAATTCGTTTGCGCCCAATTCTATATAAGTTCAGTTTGAATATCTCACACTATTGGGTATCAACAAGAAGTGTGACGTACAATACGAAATGAAAAGATTTAACGTTCTGTATTTTATTTGGTTGTAGATGCTAGCTAACTAGCTATGTAAATTACACAGAGTATTAGGATGATACAAGATTATCACTGTAATTACATTTTGTGAAATTATTTACTCAGCATATTTCTTTTAAGAACCGACTACACTAGGTACATGACTATCTAGATAAGATATGATCTTATCAGTGATAATCAATTTGATTCACCAAGACCAAATGGCCGTCAAAAGCTTTTAAAATAACTACGTTATTGGAATAGTTGTATCATTAACTAGCAGGCTGTTATATGTTGTGACCGCGCGCGCGGGTTAGAGGGCAGCGAATTATCGATCGAACCAAAGACGCGTAAAACACGTAAGAACAGCCTAGAGTTCTGATTGGTCCTACTTCCCTGTTTAGCCCAGCCAGTTGAGTCCAGAAAACAAGTCTAAGCCTCTGCGATATGAATCATTATATTTCAAACACACTCTGCTTATATAGCAATCAAACAGACCACAACGTACCATGAAATAGAAAATAACATTTGTACAAGATTTGACCAACAGGAAGATGATACGTGAAATAAATATTGACCAATAGGAAAATAATACCGTTTCAAGTCCAAGGATAGCCATGAGGGATCTATCGTCCCCAACACAGGCTCTCTTCTCATTAATAAAATGATTAATTATTTCTAGCATTTGGATGATCACATTATATCACGAATTGATTGATTTTAAAGGATGGATCCTCTATAAAAATATCAAAAGATTTGATGCTTGGTAAAATCCTAGGTGTTCACAACTTCAGAGTCCCATACTATGACAAAGCAAATATCAGGCACTCCCTTATTGTTACTGGTCACCTAACTAGTCTCCTCTCATGACCAATATCATCTGCAAATAACGTTGATTATTAATTCAGTTTAATTTAAGTGATGAAAGTATAATGGAAAAGAATATTAGATTACTTCACAAATTAGTTGTTTAATAATATGCTAAACCTTAAATCAACCAGGGTACATTAAAAGATCCAACATACTAGGGATTATTTCATTCTTATATTTATTTCTTCTGTCGTGAAAGATTTGAAGTTTGATCTATTCACAAAAAAAATCTGTCAAAAATCAATTCTAAAGAAAATATAAATTTAAGAATCCTTGTCGTCCCTTTTATTAAGATATATATCATCAATGTCTACTTTTCAAAGTTACTCTATTATGAAAAATCTTTAAACAGAAAATAGTGAAAAACTTTTTTTCGAGAAAGTGACCTGGAAATATTTAACATTAAGCGAAGATGGATAATGGCCAGCACTGGAGTCCAGGACACATGTTTTCTCCCATTTGGGACTCGTCAGTTGGATGTACTTGCATCCCAGAATTGTTCACTCTGGGACTCGAACTCAGTACCGTCTGCTTCAAACGCCATCGCGTCATCCACTTAGTTACTGAGTCCCGATAGTTACCTGCTTATGTATTGGGATGAAGTTTAAATTCACTTGGTGTTGTTATACTTCTATCTTCTTATTGTTATCTAGGACTGCAGTTGATCAGTTTCATGTATTTAACATTAATTCTGAAATTCTGAAAATAACGACTGCTGAGGAGTCCCATACTAGGATGAAACGGCCGTCCAGTGTATCCAAGTTTCCCGTGGTGGTCTAGCCATGATCGACTCATGAATTCAACTATTAAAAATCACGACAACCCACAAAAAAATTTAATTCAACTTTTACCATGGGCAACTTTAAACTGTTTTTATACTATCTGTCATTTTGGATTTGATAAAACATTTTAGAATTTTGGAGGAAAGTAGAATACGAGTGATAATTTAGTGACTCGGAATAGTCTTCTGTGACAAAGAAAATAAGTGAATAATGATTGATTGTTTCGTATGACGTTTATTTCCATCTTTGACTATTCGTTTGTTAATTGACAAACAATTTGTACTATACTGGCACTATGATCAGTTTGCATTAAATGAGCCAATATCAAGCTGTTCACATTCTTCACCAGACTTTTGCTTAGCAACGCTGAAACAGTAGTCATCTAGGTGAAGAAATCGGAGATATGCGTACAAAATAAATATCTTCAACTACTTCTCCTCCCCTGGCCAACATCGAGGTCAATTAATCAATAGTAATTTTAGCTATTGAATGACCTAATTTGACTGTTGTACTTACAACCTTTCATAGTCAAATGTAATTTTCTCTGTTATCTTTATTCACAAATCTTTATTATTATTATTGTTATTATTATTATTGTTATTATTATTATTATTATTATTATTATTATTATTATTATTACTATTGATTAAACATGATTGTTAATCTCCCCAACACATGATTCATTCACTTCATATTCATCCCTCCTTATTACATCTTACTAATTTTTCACACAATATAGTCTTCCATTAAACACTTGGTCGAATTATAATTGCACTATTATTTCTCTCACCCTATCTGATCCATATTTATTCGGATCATGGATCTTAACATTTTCATTTAACATATAAGCTGATTCAAGTTAACATGCCATATGAATCATATCAACATGAATAATTTTATTCTATTTTGTTCAACAATCCTAAAAATTCACCTAATTTAACTTTAATCGATGTACTTTACCCTTAATCTGGTCATTTTTCGGATGATTAATTTGAATATATTG